GCCGGCTCCATCACTTACTTGCTGGGTGGCCGAGGCCAATTCCATTCCCCTCTGGAAGCCTCAGCTTCCGCATATGAAAAGTGGGGATGGTTTTCCTTCCTGCCTGGCTGTGGCGGAGAGTGAACAAGATGTTAGCTGTTCCTGGGATCGTGATAGTAAGGACGATGCAGTGACTTTTAACCCAGATAAAGCTCGGCAGTCCCGCGGTCCAGTCTGCCCTCCCTCACGAACAGGAGCAATAGCTGATGTTTGTAAAGCACTCGTTAGGTGGCAGGCTCTGTGCAAAGTGCTTTCCATGTGTTTTTTCCACCTCATTCTAACAGCAGCCTTAGGGGGTTCATGTTCATACCGGCCCCATTTTACAGATGAGGAGACTAAGGCACAGAGAAGGGAAGTAATTGCACATAGTCACACAGCTGGTTAATGGCTGGGAGAGGATGTGAACAGGGATGCTCTGACCTTGGGCAGCCAGCACGGGTTAACCACTAAGCTTTCTTGCTCCCTTTTGAGGGGCCGGAAGGTGGAGAGGCATACATTTTTCCTATGATGCTGTCGTGAAATTTGTGATTCTGGGGGCCCCAGCTCTTCAAGGCATCCATGTGTGGCTGCAGCTCTGAGCCAGGCTGGGCGCTGGGGAGCCTAAGCAGGGCAGGACCCGCTGACCCTCATGTCCCCGCAGCGGCGGTAGAGGCCTGCGTCCTTCATGGATTGCGGAGGCGGGCGGCTGGCTTCCTGCGCAGCAACAAGATCGCAGCTCTCTTCATGAAGGTGGGCAAGAGCTTCCCGCCAGCCGAGGAGCTAAGCCGCAAGGTCCAGGACCTGGAGCAGCTGATAGAGAGCGCGTGAGTGCCAAGGTTGGGGTACAGTACAGGGCACCCCCCAGGGGACAGTCCACGCTCCCCCCGCAACTCTCCTCTCTGCTCCTCAAACCTGCCAGACTCTTTCACACCCCAGGACCTTTGCACATGCTGTACCCTCCACCTAGTTCACACCCCTCATCTTCCATGGCTGGTTCCTTGTCATCGCTCAGGCCTTCCCCAAGCAAAGAGTGAATTCCAACCCTCACCCCCTTTCTCTATTATATCCTGCTGTTTGTTGTCTTTCCAATTGTTATCACCATCTGTAGTTATTCATTCCTTTGTTTGTTTACTGTTTACTTGATTGTTGTCTGTCTCCTCCTTGACTTACTCTGAACTTAACAGCTGCATCGGTGTTACTCCCCATGAGGTCCCCAGGGTCTGGGATGGTGCTCAGCACCTGGGAAATGTCCAGGAAACAACTGTCGAATGAATAAATACCCAGTGGGAGCCAAGGCTGTTCCAAGTGCAGGAAATTCAAAGTTTAATAAAATCAATATGATCTCTGTCTGCATGGACCAGATGCTCACAGTGAAGCTGACTGTGTGGCTGACCGTGTGTACTGCGGGAAGACTCATGGCCCAAATGCGTTTACATGAGTGCCCCCCACCAGAGCCACCTCCAGAGTCCCGACTGCACAGCCAAAGCCCCATCCTGGAGCCTGGTCGTGGGTGGTGTACAGCACAGTGATTTCAACCCCAGTTGGTGTGAGTGGCTGCCCAGAGAACTGTGTTGTGAATGATTCTGGAGCTGTGATTGGGCTTCGCAGGAGAGAGTGCTTGGATTGATTAGCCATGTCTGTCATGGGCAAGAGGCAGGAGAGAGGAGCGTGCATGTCATGTGTTTGCCGTCCCTGCCATGGGTGATGAGTCCACTTCACTGGCTGAGAAATGGCCCTTTCTTTGCCCCTCAGGCCCTGCCAGCCCAGGGCTCTTGGCCAGATCTGCATGATGGGCCAGGCTCTGGGTTGGGTATTGCCAGCTGCCATTTGGAATCTGACTCCTCACTACCTGGTCTTTAGGTGCCTCCCAGTCCATCTGCTGAATTCCCAGGTGTTTGCTGATAACTTCTTTTTTTAATTTTTTAAAAAAAATTTCTGTTGAAGCATAGTCAGTTTATAGTGTTGTGTTAGTCTCTGGTGTACAGCACAGTGAGTTAGTCATACACACATATCTGTATTCTTTTTCATTATAGGTTACAAGGTGTTGAATACAGTTCTCTGTGCTATACAGTAGAACCTGGTTGTTTATCTATTTCTTATATGGTAGGTAGTTTCTGCAAATCCCAAATTCCTGTTTTATCCCTCCCCACCCCCTTACCCCCTTGGTAACCATAAGTTTGTTTTCTATGTCTGTGAGTCTGTTTCTGTTTTGTAGAATACATTCATTTGTATCATTTTTTAAAGATCTCACATATAAATGACATCATATGATATTTGCCTTTCCCTTTCTGGCTTACTTCACTTAGTGCGATAATCTGTAGGTCCATCCATGTTGCTTCAAATGGCATTATTTCATTCTTTTTTATGGCTGAGTAGTATTCCACTATATATATATGTAGTGTATATATATATATATACACACACACACCCCACTTCTTTATCCAATCATCTCTTGATGGACATTTAAATTGCTTCCATGTCTTGACTGATAACTTCTTAAAAGGGTGGATTTCTGTGGACCTTCCATAATATTGGGAATGACTTTCTGAAAGAGGAGTTAGAGATGTTCATTCCAGGTGCTCATTCATTCATTCATTCATGCAGTCACTCCTTCATGAACACATTACTGAGCCCCTCCTGTGTGCCAGGCCCTGTGCTGGGCCCTGGAGATACAGGCATGAAGAGGGCCAAGGCTTGCCACGTGGTAGACTCTCAATAAGTATTTTATTTAAGAAGTGACTAAATTACTTAGTTCATGCCTTCAAGGTCATAGTGTGGAGGGGAAGAGAGAAAAGCGAGTGGCAAGGTAAGCAGCAGAGGCTGAGGGAACACAGAGGAGGGGCCCCTCTACAGCTTTGGCTGGTGCAAGAGGGCTTCCTGTAGGAGGGGGTACCCTCATTGGGACCTCAAGGGTGAGCAAGGGTCATCCAGGGGATAGGGTGGAGAGGAAAGCCAGGAAGCAGCAGCAGCTCATGGAAGGTCCTCAGGTGAGAGCTTGGCAGCCTCAGGGACCTGCAGAGATCTCTGTCTGGCTGCACCACGCGGACAGAGGCGGGGAGAGGTAAAGAGATGACTGCAGAGGTGAACTGAGGCAAGGTCATGTAGCACCCTGTTTGTTATGTTAAACAGCTTACTTCTCAAGAGAAGTAGGGAGCCACCAAAGGATCTATAATCCAAGATTCTTCTTAGCCAGCACTCCTTTCCAGCAGAAAGAGAGAAAGAAGGAGACAGACAGACAGACAGACAGAAATTTCAGTATGAGAATCTAGTTCACCCATCAGTAGTGTATGAAAGTGTCCATTTTACCACATCTCCACACTCACTTGGTATTACTGTCTTCTCAGTTCTTTTCTCATTTTCTAGGAGCAGTGTAGACTCTTGTTGTTCTAGTTGCCATTCCTTCATTTCTTCGAGAGGTTGGACACTTTCCTATTTGCATATTGATCCTGTTGGATTTCCTCTTTTGTGAATATCCATTCTCTTCCTTTTCTGGTCTTGAAGCCGAAATCAGATCCAGGGCCTCCAAGAGAACGTGCGGAAGCTGCCGAAACTGCCCAGCCTGTCCCCACTTGCCATCAAGCACCTGTGGATCCGCACAGCCTTGTTTGAGAAGGTCCTGGACAAAATTGTGCATTACCTTGTGGAAAACAGCAGGTGAGTGGGAAGGACCAGACACCTGGGTGGGCTCTGCCTCCACCTGCTGGCCATCCTAGAATGGCACCCTCTTGCACACAGCAAACTTTCTTTTTCCCCCTTGATATACACTTGATTTGAAAGTGATTAAATAAGGGCCTTCTGGATGTTTGAACTAGCCTAGCCTAGAACCTTGGGAAAATTCACATGTTTAATTGCAATGCAGAGTCTTCAGATTTGGGGAGGGTATAAGGATCTTGCGATCTTAGAGATGTTTCTTCTCCCATGGATTAAGCCCATATTCTATTCACTAACTAGGTGACCTGAGCGGTGTCACTTAGCTTCTCTGTGCCCCTGTTATCTCTTCTGGTGAATGGGACGGGGCAAGAAAAGGGAGTTAGCGAGTACACAGCACTTTGGAAATGCATAGTGATGCTTTTTACATTTTCCCTCCTAGCTCAGATTGACCTGGTATAAAGGCTTTATAGTGTGAATCCTGTTGTAAGCATTTATTCATGCATCCATTCATTCATCCAATAACTATTTCATGAGCATCTACTGTGTGCCGGGCCCTATCCGAGATGTTGGGGATATGTTGGTCTTGCCTGTCCTGTTAAAGAGCTCGGATATTATAAAAGGAGCACTGGGGAGCTACTGAAGAATCTATCATGAGAGTCCTCATTTCCAGTGAGAGAGAGAAATGTATCTGAGAATCTTGCCATCTTTTAAGTCTGTGAAAGTGCCTATTTAACCACATCCTCACACTCAGTGGGTATCATTATTGTCTTTTATTTTTTGCCTGTTTGCTAGGAACATGTGTATGTAAGTGCTGAGCAAAGTCCTTCCCCTCCTGACGCTCCCATTGTAGCAGGGAAAAGAGGCAAATAGTAGTTGTGGTAATACATGATACATGTTCCAAGACAGGCATGTGGTGTTTAATCTCCTCTGGGTGGTCAGGAAAATGTCCCAAAAGACGTGACAGTGAAGCTTCAATTTGCAGGGCACGTAAGCATTAACCAGCCGAAGGGCGCAGGGAACAGTGTTCTCAGGGGAGGGGACAGCAGATGCAGAGGCCTGGAGGCAGGACTGTTTGTTTTTTTTTTGTCACAGAGAACGGGCCTTTTCATCTATAAATTTTAAATTACAGATAGTTTCAACTCCTTATGAGAAAACACCAGCTTCTTAAGAGAATATTTTAAGAGATACTGAACTTGAGTGAGTTTCCTCACCAGGCCAAGCACGCGGAGACTGCTCAGGGAAGTCCACTGCCCTGATGTCCACCCCCCAGGCTCAGTCCCCAGCCTGGACAGAAATCTGGGCTCTGGAACTTCACTTAACCTCTTCACCTTCTAGTAAGTCATAACACATCTGTGCCCCCTGCCTTGTTATGGGTTCAGGGTCTCTGTAGTTACGGCCTTTGGCATATGACCTTGTGTTTTCCTGATGAAAAGAAAAAATGGTCCTATTTATTTAGTGATTTATTTGAGCAGCAATACCAACCTACTGTTTCTTCATTAAGCACTGTATTTTGGGTTTTAGATTCATACAATACTGCCACAGTGGTTCAGAGAGTTCTCACCTGCCCTCAATGATTACAGCCCTACGTAACCTTAGTACAAGTCTCCAAACCAGGAAATTGCCATTGGTACAGCACTGTTAATCAATCTACCTTTTTTTTTTGCAATATAGTTCTGTGAATTTTTAAAAAAATTTTGGGGGGGGTAATTAGGTGTATTTATTTATTTATTTTTAGAGGGGGTACTGGGGATTGAACCTAGGACCTCATGCGTGTTACGCAAACGCTCTACCACTGAGCTATACCCTCCCCACCACTGTGAAATTTTAACACGTGCAGAGTTTCATATAATCAGCACCACACTCTGGATTCAGAACTGTTCCAAAGAAACCCACCACCCCAAAAGAACTCCTCAGGCTACCCTTTCTAGTCACATCTTGCTCCCAACCCTACCTGCTGTTTTTAAGGCATCATTTCCAAGGCTTATGATCAGTAACTGCATTGATTTTTGGAACAGAAACTAAGTGGTGGACTGGAAAGCATCTCAGATTCTTACCTTCAGATCTGATAGCAAAAATGTATAAACTTGATGTTGAGCACGTGCAGAGGGTGTCATTTCTGCCTCAGCCAATGTTCTGGTTGATCGAAGATTTCTTTGGGGCAAAATTACAATGATGTTGCTGCCATTTAGTGAGAACTTCTTGGTGTCAGAACTTAATACGTGCCGGTGGACGTTTAGTCCTCCCGAAAACCTGAGCAGGTGAGTTTTGTCATTCTTCCCATTTTACAGCTGAAAACACTGAAGATCAGAGAGGGTGGTCACCTGCCCAAGGACACACAGCAAGGGAGGGTGCACATGAGCTGGGTTCCTGCTCAGGCTTTTAACTCCACACCCTGCATTCTTTACCTCCTGTTCTAGGATGGGAAGAGCCAAGCTGGTTGGGTGCAGCCTGCATTCACCTGCTGTGTGGCCTCCAACAAGTCACTTACCCTCTCTGGGCCTGAGATCCCTCAGGAGGTCAGAACAAGATCCTTTTCTGGCTCTGAAATTCTGTTAGTTTCTAGACTGTATGAGGTTGAAAAGAATTAGAAACCAGTACACAACAACTCAAAACAAACAAAAAACTGAAACCACTGAGCACTAATTGATAGCATCGCATGTTATTTTGAAGAGTCAGTGTCTGGGCGCTGTTTTGTACATATCAGGCCAGCATCATCTGCATTATTTAACTGAACAGGAAGCCCTGTTAATACAGCTTTTGGGGACACATCACAGCTGAAAAGCATTTTCATGCCTCAGTAATATTAGAAGGGCGGACATCACCTGGGCCTCTAAGTGACTTCTGGTCAGAATGGAAGATGCAGTGGAAGCAGACAGAACCAGCTGGGGCCTGGCAGTTTTCAAATGATTATTCCTGTTTTTCTCATTAAGGCTTTATCACAGCCACGTATTAAGCAGTTACAAGCCAAGCACCCATGCTAAGTGCCTTACCTCTGCTGTCTCTCTCTAACATCCTTCAACAGCCCTATGAGATATATTATTATTATCCCCATTTTACAGATGGGGAAGTCGAGGCTTACAGAGGGAACTGGGTGACCAGAGGGGCATGGAACCCAGTCTGTCTGCTCTTAACCACCAGGCTGTAGTCAACTGTGCGCCCTCCGCTGGTCACCATCCAAACCTGCATGTCCTTTCCTCTCTTGCTAGTAAGTATTATGAGAAGGAGGCTCTCCTGATGGACCCCGTGGACGGCCCCATCCTTGCGTCTTTGTTGGGTAAGTGGTCCAGCGCTCTGAGCGTCATCTGCATCTCTGGTCTTGGCTGGTGAGGGCATCTCCTAAGGGTCTCTCCCGTGTCCCTCCAGCCTCTCCCTTCAGAACGGCTTGCTGCCTCTTGCTTTCAGGATCTCATGCTGGTCTCTCTTTAGCAGGACCCTGGGGCATCGTGGCTGCTTGGAGCGGGGGAGGGGTAGTAAAATAGGTGGTCCATCTGATGGTGGAAGGGAGGGTGGGATTTCCGGGGCGATGAGTTCCTAGTCCCCATATGCTCTGCAGTGGGGCCCTGCGCCCTGGAGTACACCAAGATGAAGACTTCAGATCACTTCTGGACGGACCCCTCGGCGGATGAGCTGGTCCAGAGGCACCGCATCCACAGCTCACACCTGCGGCAGGACTCGCCCACCAAGCGTCCTGCCCTCTGCGTGAGTCGGGTGGACAGGGGGCCCCGTGAGGGAGTCTGGCTGAGTTCTGGGCTTGGCGTGGAGGTGGGAGCGGAAGCGGCACTTTGGCGGTCCCTCCAGGCGTCATGCTCCACCTCTCTTCACATGGCCAGATCCAGAAGAGGCATTCGAGCGGCAGCATGGACGACCGGCCATCCCTCTCTGCCCGCGACTATGTGGAGTCCCTGCACCAGAACTCCCGGGCCACCCTGCTCTATGGCAAGAACAATGTTCTGGTTCAGCCGGTGAGAGTTCATGTTGGGCCCAGTTCTTCCACCAGGGGTGGGTCTGGCTCCAGGTGACAGAGGAGGAGTTCCCTCTGACTCCAGGTTGCTTGTCCATTTCTCTGTCCATCCACCCATCCACCACTCACCCAGCTTTTCATTCTTCTGCCAGTATCTCCATCTCTCTCCTCCTGTTCATCCATAGGACAACATTTCCTTCTACGCATTTATCCAGCCGTCCATATATCCATCGGTCAATATTTCCAGCCAGCCAGCCAATCAGCTCTCTTACAGTCTGTATATTCATCCATCCTTCTGTCCATGCATTCACCTACCATTCCTTTATCCATCTGCCTGTATTTATATCCAGCCAACCACCCATCTATTCAGCCATTCATCTACCAATCATTACATTCATCTATCCTTCCACCTACTCATTGCTGCCTCTATCCATCCATCCATCCATCTGTCCATCCATCCATCCATCCATCCATCAATCCACGCATCCATTATTACATCCAACCATCTACCCATCTTTACATCCATCTATCCGTCCATCCATCTTTACATCTGTCCATCCATTTGTCCATTTATTTTCCAGCCCATCTATCCCTCCACCTGTCCACTCAGCCGTCTATCTGTCGTTCTCTCTTGCTATTGCAAGAGATGCATGAAGGCCCCTACCCCCATGTAATATCTCCTTTGCTGTCCCCTTCCTGGATGGTTGGGATCAGCATGGTGTTTGGGCTCAGCTGGGAGGAAGCGGAGGGAGAGCTGTCAGCCACTTCACCTCTGTGGTCACAGTTGCCATCACCCGGTGACCCTGAGCAAGTCACTTCTCCTTCTGAGCCTCAGTATTCGCATCTCCATGAATATAAGACCCTATTTCCTCAGAGCCAAGAATCCATGAATTTAAGATGCACAGTCTCTTAACATAACCATCAGGAAATTTAAAGTGCTATTAAATCATATACAGTGTCTTCTCACCCCTTGGAAATTTCATTTGCTACTTTTTCGAAAAGCTCTTTGAGGCTTGTTTGGAAATAGTTGTTTTTTTTTCAGCATGTACCCACAAGGGAAAATGTAATTGAAATACATTCGTTAAGCTAGTCCTAAAACTTCTTCACATTTCAGGATCCCAATCTTCTGTATCAGTTGTATATCAGTTTGTATTAGATAAAGATACAATCTTCTTGTAAAAGATACAATTTTTTGAATCAGTTTTCTTTTCAGTTTTTATTAGAGTCATCATTATCCTTTTTTTAATACGATTATTATATATTTTATATATAATATATAATAATATAATGCTATATAATTATATAATTATGATTGTAATATTATATTATAATTATATGATTATATTATAATTATGTAATATAATACAATTATTATTATAGTATAATACTTACTATATAATTATTTTCCTGATGTAACTTTCTGTTCCATCAAGAGAAAGGGTCACCAGATCCTTCTTGTGGCCGAATGCAGCCCTCCGTCTGTTTTCTGAGTAAAGCTGTACCAGAACGCGGCCACGCCTGGTACTTTGTGCATTGTGTGTGGTTGCTCTCCCACTATCAGGGCAGAGTTGAGTGATTGCAGCAGGACCTGTATGGCTTCCCTATCTGAGCCTTTACAGAAAAAGCTTGCTGACCTCTGATCAAGAGGACGGGAGGTACAGCCTCTCGTGCAAACATGTGCACTCAGTTGTTGCTGTGCAGGAAAATCTGGGGTTGCAGGCATCCCCGCGGTGGTGAATAATGGGTCTGTTTCACCGATATCGCGTTAGCGTCCCGTTGCTCTGTGCCCAGTCTTCCTACGGACGCCATGTGTCCTCTTCCGTTCAGAGCTGACTTACAGCCTAATCTTTCCGAAGATGTTTTAAAAAGCCCCTGTACTCTGCGTGTGGGGCAGCAACCCTGCACAGCACTTAACTGAAGTGACCACGGCATAAACATCTGTAACTGAGTTTGCACGAGTTCAGGCGAAAGACAGCTCTGTCACAGTTGTGAGACGCCACTGATTGTAAGATGCATCCGCATTTCAGGCGCATTAACACGTGAGAAACAAACGTGCATCTTAGAGTAGATGAAATACGGCAAGGCTGCTTCCTCCGGGGGTTGCCGGCGTGTGGAGCACGTGTGGCGGAGGGGAGTTTGTAGGGGGTGGGCGGCCTCCTGTGTGTGAGGCTTGGAGACAACCCCCCCCACCACACCCCGCTTGGGATAAAACAGAGCAGGTGAGAATCGCCCTGTAGGAAAACTGAGAAGGCAGACGATGGGGCTGAGTAGCACCGCCACCTGGATGGAGGTTCAGGGTCTTCCAAGTGGACGTGGCCTTGGAGGGGATGAACCAGCCTCTTGGTTCTGGTTGCGTGTCCTTGAGCCAGATCGGCCAGGGTCCACGTCCACTGTGACGCCAGCACCGTGACCAGACCTGCATCCTCCTCTCTCTGCAGAGGGATGACATGGAGGCTGTGCCAGGATACCTGTCCCTGCACCAGACGGCCGACGTCATGACCTTGAAGTGGACTCCCAATCAGCTGATGAACGGGTCTGTGGGGGACCTGGACTATGAGAAGAGGTAGGGTGCCGGGTCCCTCCCCTCCTCTTGGTACAGGGAAGGTTGTGCCCCGTCCCCTGTCCCGCGCTCCTGCCCCTGCTCCGTCTGGTTAAATAAGTGTATATGTTTGTGTGTGTGTGTATGTATGTGTGTGTGTGTGTGTGTGTGTATATAGACTCTTTCCAAGGGACATAACCAGGACACTGTTACTGTGTTGTGTTCATGTTAAGCCTCAGCATGATTAACACCAGGCTTTGATGTGATTAATATCATTCTCTAAGCTGATCGCTTCCTGGGCAGAGGTTACCATCTGTCCTCAGAGAGGGTCACTGGGCAGTGCAGTCAGTCCTGGCGGAGCGAGATCATTCAGCTCCAGCCAGACTCCTGAGTTTCTGATGGAGAAACCCTCAGGGAGGAACATTGTGGGGGCCGAGGAAGTACTCTTGGCCTTGAAAACCTTCTCTCAGTACATTCATCTGAAACCTTGATATCGAGCCTTCCCTAACCTCCCAGCTGAGTTCGGATCCCACAGAGCCCTGAATCTCCTTCACAGCACTTACAAAAGCATGCGAAATCCGCACCGACTCGGGCTCCGACTGTCCCGCCTTTTAGACCTCAGTTCCACGAAGGCAAGGGGTCTGTCTTGTGCACGTCTTCGCCCCAGCACCTGCTACAGACCGTAGCACATAGTAGGTGCTCAGATAATCTTTGTGAAACAAAGCAGGGAAGTCAAGGGACCTGGACTCATTCATCAGGTATTAACTGAGCACTTGGTATGTGCTAGACACTGTGCTGGGTACGAGAGAGAGCAGATGCTGAAAAGGAAAGGAAAATCTCTCTCTCAGGGCTTATGCTGTATGCACATTATACTCGAGGAGAGCATGAATAAGCAAGTAAATGAATAAATGTGCATGATGGGACCCAGTCCTTGCTCAGCCCTCACCTTGCTGGGTGGCCTGGGGTACGTCACTCCCTGTCTCTGGGCCTCAGTTTCCCCCTTCTATCAGACGATGGGGTTGGAAGGGATAATGTCCCCAGAATGCAAAGGGTTCCCATAGGGTCCATGGGGGATCCTCAAACATCAAAGTGTCTTCCGCCGAACATCAAAGCTTTAAGCACACACACACCCTGTTTGTTGGTTAGGCCTAAGCCCGGGATTCTGTGGGCAGGGGACTTTGGATGCTAATATCTTGGGAAAGGCATTGGCCCAATGATTGCCAAGCACTCTCCCTCCAGCTCAGATCATCGGGGACTCTGTTTCTGCCTCATCTTTTCCTCTGTGTGTGAACAGGCACACCGTAAGTGCTTCGGTACTTAGTTCCAGCTGAATGTGCGCTTCCAAGGTCACTGCCCGTGGGGCTGGGGACCTCCCCAGTCCTGGGGTCTGAACCCCCGTGTTACCTTTGCCTGGAACTGAAGCTCAGTGGAATAGAAACAGCCAGAGCTGAGAAATGTGGGTGTTAGCATGGGAAAGGCGGGTACCCAGGGGTTCCAGCATGCCTTTGGGGACCAAGGAACAATGAAGATAAGTGGGGGATGCTTCCTGTGTAAGGAGGTTCAGGGCCTCTTTTCTTTTTTCCCAGCCAGCCTTCCCTCTTGCACAACCAGGATCATAACTCCCCAGCTGGGTTTCCTGATGTCCAAGCGGAGATATCATCAGAAAGGTGGCTATTTGGTCTCTGGAGTCAGGCCAGACTTGGCTCAAATCTCAGTCCTGTCATGTGGGCACTGCTGATGGTCCAACCACTTTACAAACCAGTTCGGAAGTCTCTTATAATATGTGCCTTTGCCATATGACCCAGCAATTCCACTCTAGAAGCTGTTAGAACGTGTAAAACAAAACCAGAAACTCAGCTCTTGCTCCTTCCCAGTTGAGTGACCTTGAACAATCAGCATTACCTCCCCAAGCCTCAGTTTGTTCATCTGTAAAATGGGGATGTGGTCATGAACCCTCCAAATACCATGGAGGGAAGAGTCAATAAGAAAATGCATGTAAAGTGCTTAGCAGGAAGCCTGGCACCTGGAAAGGCCTCCCAGTCAAGGTGTTAATTTACCGAGATCCAAAAGGGCTGAGGCCACAGGGCTCCTCCCCTCCCTGCTGGTGTCTGGGGGTAATTGGAGAGTTGCTCTGTTCCCTGGGCATCCCAAGATCCAGCATTCAAAATTCACTCAGAACATTCTCTGAGCATCTTGCAGAAGTGAACAAAACCCAGCCCCCCTCCAGGAGGTCAGCACCTCTTGGAGATTGTTCAGGAAGATTCTCAGACACAGTGCAGTTCTAAGAACATTTGACCAGATGAGTTGGGAGTCCCCAGGCTAAAACTGACAATTAGAGGAGTCCCCTGTCCCACAGGAATAAGCCTGCACTGGCACCCCGTGTGCTCCACCCTGCCTGAGAGCAGCCCACGGTAGCATGGTTTTGGCACAGATGTGATAGTGGATCCAGAGGGGTGACCTCTGAAGCTGTTGGTGAGCTCTGAAGGAAAGCCGAGCAGCGCACTCCTATGGCTACCACAAAGCCCGAGCTCCTGTGCCCCCCCCCGCCTCTTGTTCTGAGGGGAAAAGCAATCTGTTTTAAGACAGCAGTAGGGTTTGAGCTGAAAATGGAAAACTTTAAGTAAATGATCTTAGAAACCATTAACCAAGTACTTGTTCATGTATCAGCACTGTTAAGCCCATCAAACACGTGATTCTACTTAATCCTTACAGAACCCTATGTGGTGAGTATTGGCATCATCTCTATTTTATAGAGGATGAAACTGAAGTTCATGGAAGCCTTCAAGTCACATTGCTGGGACCTGTGACATCAAAGTGTTCAGTGGCTGTTCCGACCACATGGACACATGGTGGCCTGGCCAAGACTTTTTTTTTTTTAAGACTCTTAAATGCTGGTGACAGAAAACCAAACTCAATCTGACTTAAGCACTGGCTCATGTGAGCTGAAAAATCTAGGGGTGGTGGCTTCAGGCATGGCTGGATCCAGGGACTCAAATGATGAGGACCTGAACTCTTTCTGTCTCTTGACCCTACTTTCCTGACTGTTGCCTCCATTCACAGGCAGGCTTTTTCTTGCCAGAACCCCCTACATCTCCAGACTTCTATCATCCTTACCTCTACTCCTAACAGAAAGGAGCATCTCTTTCCCAGTAATTCTAACATAAATCCAATAATTGGATGTCGTTGGTTCTGTCTGGGTCATGGGGCTGTCCCTGAACCAGTTACAGTGGCCATAACAGTGTAATATGCTGATTGGCCACATTTGGGTCAGGTGCCTATTCCTGGAGTCCTGGGTGGAGAATGGGTGGGGTCAGCCTTAGCCGTATGGGCTGGAGGTGGAGAAGAGCGGTTCCTTGGAAAATTGGGATACTGGGGCCAGAAGAAGGGGAGATGGAGTCTGGGAAGACCGAGACATGGATGTTGGGGATAGGTGGTCCTGGTGAGGAGGGTGGAGGAGCCCATGGGTGTGCCCTTTCCCATGATGAGCTGGGCAGACATCCTGTAGGCCTTACCTTTCCTCCCCTTCCAGTGTCTACTGGGACTACGCCATGACCATCCGCCTGGAGGAGATCGTCTACCTGCACTGCCACCAGCAAGGTAGAGGCGGCGGGTCAAACATGTGGCTGGGGTGTTCCTCCTGGATCGCGTGCCTGCCCCACCCCCTTATTACCTGTGCAACCTGACAAGTAACCTAACCTCTCTGGGCCCCACTTGCCCCATCTGTAAAATGGGAATCATAACAGAGTCTACTCATGAGGCTGTTGTGAGGATCAGATGGCATTTGTTAAGGGCTCGGCATCAAACCCGTGTGTGAAGCACGGTTCTCACGAGTCACGTGCCTGTTATTTCATCACTGCAACAACTCAATGACAGGGGCCCTGTCATTCCCATTTTAGAGGTGACATGGCACAAAGACACGCTTCCTAAGTCCACACTCTGGTCATAAACCCCAGCCTTTGTCACTCCAAAATCAGTGCTCTGAGAACCAAGGACAAACAGCTAGAGTTCTCCTTTCTAGCTCAAAGAAGGTATGCCCTGAACAAACAGAGGGCCATCCTGCTTGAGAAAGCCAGGGATCTGTGCCTCCTCGCCAAGGCACAAAACACAGTGGCTTAAGCTTATTTAATGAGATAGACCTGGGTTCAGCTCCAGGCCCTGCCACTCACCAGCTGTGTGACCTTGGGCAAGTTACATAATGTCTCTGAGCCTCGGTTTCATCATTTGTAAGATAGGCAATCATAGATACGCCTCACAGGGCTCGCTTTGGGGATTACAATAGGACAGTGCCTTTAACTTGCTGTGCTTGTATGTAGTAAGTGCTTAATACATGCTAGCGAGAGTCGTACATACAAAAATAGGTCAGAGATGGAGGAGGGTATAGATCAGTGGTAGAGTGTGTGCTTAGCATGCATGAGGTCCTGGGTTCAATGCCCAGTTCCTCCATTAAAAAAATAAATTAAATAAATAAACCTAATTACCTCCCCTAACCTCCCCCTCGCAAAAAACAGGTCAGTTCAATTTGTAGAGGGTGCCTGAGGGGTGTAGGGTGTTTGGGGCATTTTTCTCCTTTGGTGGCTGGCTGCAGGGAGACCAGCCACACTCATCCTGACCTTGGCCTGTTGTTCCCCAAAAAAACTCTGGTGGGTGGGATGATGGGGACTGCCCCGCGACCGTCTGCCCAGGCGTTTCCCAGAGCCTCAGAGCAGGACCCCTGGGTCTGGATGGGCGTGCCTGGGGGTGTATATTTTCCGGGAGGGCCCCAGCACCATGCCTCACAGTGACTTCCTGCTGGGTCTCCTCTGGCTGGGTCGCCGTGGCAGTGGACAGCGGCGGGACAGTGGTGTTGGTCAGCCAGGATGGGATCCAGAGACCGCCCTTCCGCTTCCCCAAGGGAGGGCACCTCCTGCAGTTCCTCTCCTGCCTGGAGAACGGGCTGCTCCCTCACGGGCAGCTGGACCCACCGCTCTGGTCTCAGCGGGGGAAGGTGAGCGATGGTGGGGGCCCGGGGAGGCTGGGGTGCGGGTCAGCCGTGGGGAGTGGTTGTACTTGCCCGTGGACCCTTATGTGGCTGTGTGGGCTCGTGCGCATCCAGCGGGGACCCTCATGCTCTGCAGGTGGTGGGGACAGGTGTGTCCAAGGGACCACGCACTGGGTGTTCTTTCAGGGCAAAGTATTTCCCAAACTGCGCAAGCGGAGCCCTCAGGGTTCATCTGAGTCCACGTCCTCAGACAAGGAAGATGACGAGGCCACGGATTATGTGTTCAGAATCATCTACCCCGGCATGCAGTCCGAATTCGGTAAGCTGCTCTGGCACTGGGCCCTGTTAGTTAATTCTGGAAACGGCTCCAGGCATGTGGAACTAGAGGACAAGAGATGTGGATTCTGGGGCCAGCAGAGGGACCTGGAATCCGGAAGTCAGGGTCTTGAAGACCTCAGTCCTCCCTAAATGAGAACTGATAACCACTTTCTACTTACCTAATTAAGACGTCCCTGGGTGCGAAGTGGCAAAGGGTAGCAGCAGTGACACAGGCTCTCAAGTCCTGGTTAAGCCTGGGCAAGCCACCTCACCCCTCTGTGCCTCAGTCTCCTCATCTGCAAAGTGGGGACGTTTACAGCGCCTCTTTTCATAGGACTCTTGAGGGGATCAAATGAGATAAAGGGCGTGGCGCAGAGAGAACACTCAAATGTTAGCTGCTGTTGTGTTTTTATTATTTTACTTCAGTATATTGTTGTGAGGATCCAATGAGATGATAACGGTGAGCAGTGCTAAGCCCACAGAATGAGGCCTTGCATACAGTAGGCCCTCAATCAGTGGTTTGTCAGGACAGCAGAGGGGACGGGGAGGCACTGGCACCCGAGATCATAATGTACATCCAACAGTTGCCATGGTGATCGCTGTGCAATTGATGCTTAGTGAATGGAAACTTACTAGTAAGATGCTCGTGACCAGAGGGCTGCGGTGAGGATTAAATGAATATTTAAAAAGGTCTCAGAAGGAGGCCTGGCACTTAGTAAGCACCGTAT